TCCTTCCTTCCTTCTTTCTTTCTTTCTTTCTTTCTTTCTTTCTTTCTTTCTTTCTTTCTTTCTTTCTTTCTTTCCTCTTTCTTTCTTTCTTTCCCTCCCTTCCTTCCCTCCTTCCTTCCTTCCTCCTTCCTTCCTCTCTCTCTCTCTCTCTCCCTGCCTCTCTCCTTCCCTCCTCCCTCTCTTCCACTTTTTCTCTAAGAAAAAAAAAAGCAATGGAAAAAATATCCTTGGGTGAGGATTACAAAAAAAAGCAAAATTCTGGCACATATCTCCCCATACATACACACTCTTACAAACACACTGAGTCAGAATCTCTGTGTCTTTGGCTTTGGAATCTTCATTTTGGGGTTCCCATGATATCATGGTCTCCATTACTACTACTTCATAAGACCTAGCCATAGACCCTGTTTCAGCTGAGCAGTGCAAAAGGAATCTCCTTATAATAAAAAAGCCTAATGGTTTAGAATTCATAATTAAGAATCTAACAGCCAAAATGGTGGTTATCGTAGCCTTAAAATGTCCCCCCTTTTCCCCCCACTGACACCCTCCTTCCCACTCCCACCCCCTCCTCAGGCCTTCACTGCACTATTGTTTGGAAAAAAAGAAATTCAGGGTATCCACTAAATAAATCTATGTGGATAATAAACATTATTCAGCCTTAGTATGAGGTGAAAAATAAATAAAATAAAAACAAGTTGTTATCCACCTATCAAACAGACAAATATTTACTTACAATATGCAATTTTATTGAGAATCTAGGCTTTCTTATACTCAAAGAAAGAGTAAATTGCTACATCCATTTTTAATTTTTTTTTTCTTCTATTCACAAATAAGCATCAAAAGCTGTATATTTTAGAATGGAAACAAAAAAGAAAAAAACACACACCTGTATATTTTACATACTACATGACTCAACAATTTACTGCTTGAAATTTGTCCTAAGGAAATAATCATAGTGGTGAGCAAATGTTCAGCAATAAGCATTTTTATTTAAGGAATTAATATATTGTAAGGATTTTTAACTTAAGAATCAAGTAAATGAACTATCCAATCAGAAGAAAATGAACATAGAGGCCTACTCACTACATACACAAAAATATATCCCAGGTGGATTAAATACGAAAATGTGAAAAACAAAAATAAAATATTACAATGAAAATTAAGTAAGAAAAAAAATGTATAGTCTTGTGATGCGATTACCTTCTTAAGCATGAAAGAAAATCCAGAAGTTATAAAGAAAAACATATCAAAGGTCCAAAGACAAGAAATAACCTAGGAGAAAATATTTGCAATACCATGACAGATAGTGGAAAAACATCTCTAATACCCCAATAGCTTTTACAAATGAAAAACAAAAAGATAAACAAAGCAATAAAAAATGCTATATAACATAGCACGTCTACTGTTTTGTATTACCATAAAGATATATGTATATATGTGCACAGAAAAGCATAGATGGATGTCTACTGTGGCATTGTTTGTAAAAGCCAAAATATTGAAAATAGCCTAAGTCATCAAAAGGGAAAATTTAAATAAACCGTGGTCTATCTATATCAAGAAAACTACACAGTACTTAAAAAGAATGAATTTCTTATATTGTTGCATCTCCAGGAATATTGTTAAATAAAGATATATATTTTTATGTGGCTATTTTTTTTGTTTTGTTAATCCTCACCCGAGGATATCTTTTCCATTGATTTTTAGAGAGAATAGAAGGAAAGGGGAGAGAAAGAGAGAGAGAAACATAGAGGGGAATTGGTTGCCTACCGCACTCACCCAGAAGATTGAATCTGCAACCCAGATACGTGCCCTTGACCAGGAATCGAACCCATGATCCTTCGGTTCATGGGCCAATGTTTTAACCACTGAGCACATGGGCCAAGGCTACTTATTAGTTTATTTTAATATACTGCTTTAACCACACCTCCAATTTCAATCTCCTCCCCATAATTAAACACTTATCAGTTTGATGAGTATCCATCTAGAAATTGATATTTCTGTTTTGCATTTTAACTAAATATTATAATATTACATTATGACTTTCAAGTGCCCTTAATTAGGCTCTTTGATTATAAAGGAGACTCCTGCACAACTCAGCTGGATCATGGTCTATGGTGATTGTGCATATTAACATAGGTTTATAATTATTGTTTTATGCATTTCTCTTTTAAGTCATATAGAAAAAAAGCGGACTTATAAACCAAATATGCAAAACTTTTATATTTACTCATGTAGCTATCTTTACCATTGTTGTTTATTTCTTCATGTGATTTTTGGGTTACTTATCTATGTCTTTATTTCAGCTTAGAAGTCTTATAGGACTTTCCAGAGGTCTGTAAATACAAATGGGAATGAATATACTT